CCTTGTTAAATGTTTGTTAAATTTATCAAAGCTTCAAGATTGCTGTTTTAAAAGCCTAACTTTAGGATTTTTGTTTGCAATCAGGTGGGACAAGAATGTTCCAGAAATTGAATGCTTTTTCCCATTTTCTAGCTTTATATTTAAATTAAAGGGTTGACATACATCTAGCAGCCTGGTCCATTCCAGTGTGTGGTCCACAGAGTTCCACATACAAACTTGCCTATCTTGGGCACATGTTAAAAATAAGTCTTTGAAAGGATGAGATGCCAGTCCCCAGAGCTCATCTGTATGTCCCTAGAAAGAAACCACATGTAATTTAACAACTAAAAAAATTAAGATTCTCAAAATAACACACCAGCAGAGAAAATCTTTACATCTTTGGGTTATAGTTTAAAAAAACAAGTTATGCTCACCTGTACCTCCACTACAAAACCATCATTAAACGTTCCCCTCAAAACAAAGTTTCGTGAAGTACCCACTAAAAATTGATCAGCTTTTCCTTCTGCTACTGCTCTGATTGTTCCATACTGGTCAGGAACCTGCAAAAAGAAACGTCTGTCAAATCACATCAGGCATCTTGATAGGTGCCTCATTTTGGAGGCCACAAATAGAGCACAGAGACAGAATCAGAACTGGAGTTCTCCCCATAAAAAGGAACAATCCAATTATTATAACCTTGATCAGGGCTTGACCTGAAACCTTTCTCATCTATTTGTTCAGCACAGGCATACAAGATCTTATTCCAAGCCAATCACTCATTTTAATAACTTCAGTAGAAAGAAAATTACAAATTAAATTACACTGCTTTTAAGCGTAAAATTCACTAAACAAATGCACTCCACAGCCTTACAACCCATCTTACAAGGAAAGGAATAATACACTGTTACTATTTACTTTCCAAAACACGCTTTGAAAACCAAGAAAAATCTTGTAGCACACAGTAAATGCTTCCTGATTTTCTTAATGTTTCCTGATTAGCCCAAAGTAAATGTTCATATGCCCTACGTTAGCAATGATTCTGAATTTTAATTACTTTGTTTATTGCAGGCTTGAATTCTAATATACTGCTTTATTTTACAGTGCGCAATTGTTTGGGTTTTAAATTATTTTATTTGAGAAAGCATACCAATATTAAATGATAACATATGATAGAAAAACCAATCTGGTAACATAAAAATTAGCTTTAACATGACATTACTAACAAAAGGAAAATGGAGACACTGGTATGAATAGAGTGTTTTATTTGAGCCTAAGAATTGTATATGATAGTGGCTACCTTCTCTGCCATGTTTTCTAAATGTCAGTACTAGATTCAAGGCAGTAAATATTCTAGACTGAACTTACATAAGTGTTAAGAAAAAATGCTGCTATGAATGGAAAATAGGTAAGTGGAATAAACCAATGTTTAAAGAACTGTTTAGGAAGAACATATTATTTCAAGTTAAGGGAAAAGCCCAAATATTTAAAATCCAAAATACCTTTTCCAGTTCATCCCCAGTGACCTACCACTGCCATATTGCAAATCACAAAGAACAGACATAGTCACTGAACACTCAATTTAGGATAAATTTAAAAGAAGTTCCTCATCATAGCTTATTAATCATTAATTATTACAGAATTCCAAATTGTATTCCACCACTTATGTCAAACCCTCTACTAAAACCCTGAAATGCTGGTGACATTGTCTTTCTCCAGAGAGGCAAATTTATAAAAACACAGGCAGTACTAAAGAATAGCCTCAAACATTCTCTCAAACAGGATGAATTAAAAAACCCAAACAACTAAGGAAAGGTTTTGAAGAAAGAAAACCCTTAAATTTTCTGTTCAATTTAAACACAGGAGAACTGAAGCCTCATATAGGCTCATTTATAGGCTAAAATTTAAACACTTTTGTAATAAAACATTGTAATCCAATTAAAAAACAGCAACTAGAAGGTATTCTTTCAGCCTAACTTCCCCTACTGGGGAAGGCCCTGTCTTGCTAGCCAATACCTTGTTGAAGGCAATTTCCTTGCCTCTCTTGATTTCTTACCTCAATTTCCCTTTCAGGATTCAAATCATGATCCCACAGGATGATCTTTCGATCTTTCCCACCTCCAGTTAGCAGCATTCCATTCCTCATTTGACAGAGTGTGAACACACTGCCATCATGAGCTTTGATTTGTCTGCTTATCTGATATACTCCTATATGCACAAAAAAGAAAATAAGAAAGATCACTAGTCATTTTTTCACCTTGGGTTTATGAGAAGCTTTGCCTTTAGGCAGAAGGATAAAGGAAGTGTATAATAATTACATTTGGACTGACAGGTTTTTAGTATTGCAAACACAAGGTGGTAGTGTTTTCTTACAGGATAAAAAGATAAAACAAAGGGCCTGTCTTTCTGAAGAAAAATTTTTTTGCAACTGATTGTCCTACAAAATGTGAAGGCAAAATCAACAATTGGTAAAATGCTTTCTTTTCTCTGCTTTCCAAAGGAAAACAGTTTTTCCAGATGCAAGAGAAACTGTCTTTTAGAATAAAAAAAATATTTAGCAAGTCATTATTAGAAAAGAAATAAAGATACTTTATTAAAAGAAACTGAAAGTCTTGTTGTCTATAGTTTTTTGGGGATAAAAGGCCAATTATTTATAGTGAAATTTCCAGGATGCATGAACCTAATATCTAATGCTGGATGCTGCCACACATAAAAATAGTACAACCAGCATTTGGCATCTATTGAGACAGCAGTCTAGCCAAAGGAAAATACTTGGAAGAATGAAGGAGATGAGAATATTAAACAACAAGGGTAGCAAAAGAAGGCTTTTGCATTGTCATTGGGTCTTCATATCAAAAGAACTGATGTTGGAAACTAATTAAAAAAACCCAAACAAAACAAGACTCTG